TTACAGCTGCTTATTGTATCTATGCTTCTGTCTCCTCGAACCCCAGTCAGCCTCAGCAGATGGCCGCTCACACTGAGCCTGGTTCTGGTTTTTCCTCTCCACTGTCGCTACAAGCATGCTTAGTGTGAGAGATTGCCTTAGAGTCAATGAGTCTATGCAATCAGCTGGTTTTCCTTAGATAGAAAACTTTGAATCAATTTGATTTAATGATCTGGTGAACTGTAAAGTTCCTTTGAGATGACATGTGTTGTGAATTTGGCGCTATAGAAATAAACTGAATTGAAATTGAATTTATATTTGCAGCTAGTCCCATCACTCATTGAGTCGGTGTATCAGTTCTAAGCATCCATAAATCCTCCCACCTGTACTTTGTGTGCGTGTTCAAAGAAGTGCACCACCACGTTGCACTTGTTGCAGGCCATTCTCCATTTGGGCCCAGAGGTGGGATCCAGCACCAGAACCCCGCTGTCGCACTCCACGCACTGGCCGATGCCCAGAGAGTTGAGGGAATGCTGGCAGGAGGGATGGGTGCATTCATTGCATCCCATACCTGTAGGAACAGAAGGGAAAGAGCAATCAGCTCGCAGCAGAGCTTTTACAGCCACAACGGTCCTCGCATCGGACCGCTGCACTCATCCTACAGAGGAAAACTTTCAGAAGATGTTCTGGTCACTCAAAGCTAACTCTAACCTACAGCTACACACACAGGGAGAGGTGCTTTGCTCTGAGGCACGCTGACATTCCACAGGGTTAGCTGGAATCAAACCCATCAGGCTGAGATTTTTCACTTTCGGGTCAACAGCTCCTCTGAGTGGAGACTGGATGGGTGGGATTAAAACCAGAGGTTCTTCAAATTATGAAGAAGATGGTTCTAATAGCAGTTTAGCTTTTAATCACTGTCTTTTTATTGAATTTTCTTTTCTTTTTGTACATACAGTTTGTAAATACAAAGAAGTATTTGTCCAACACAGACATATTAGTAAAAACCCAGGTCACTACCCAGTAGGTCCACACACTACATTCCCTGACAGAAATTGAAAACATTTTAAGGAAATTAATTAACTTAAGCTGGAGCATTATTGTAAGTTTTGAAATTTGTCAAGAAATGGGCTCCATGTTTCTTCAAATTAACCAGTTGAGTGTTGAAGAGAAAATCTAATTCTTTCCAGTTTCAAACACGACATGATGTCATATAACCACCGCTTGGTTCTGCCTTTATTCTAAGGTCATGTTCTAGGGTCAACATGCAGAAAACATCAGATAAAAAGGATTGGGAACCAGGGTGGGAATGGGAACCAGTAGGAGTACCTTTCTTCATGTCCCTGAAGGGGGGGTGGCTGAAGCAGTAGGGACACAGCGGGTAGCTCTTCCCTCGGGCGCCAGACGTCCACAGCACCAGCNTACCTTTCTTCATGTCCCTGAAGGGGGGGTGGCTGAAGCAGTAGGGACACAGCGGGTAGCTCTTCCCTCGGGCGCCAGACGTCCACAGCACCAGCTCAAAGTCGTCCAGCGGACAGCGGAGCTCCTTGTACAGCTTGATGGCTCCGTTCTGGGGCAGGCTGTAGGTCTCATCGCAGTGGGAGCAGTGGAGTCGGCTCGGCTTGGCCTGCAGACAGAGGAACTCGCTTCGTTTAAGAGCTGCAGCTGGGACACAATGACCCACAGAACAACCTGCGGGTTTTCAGCCAGGTTAGCAGAACTTTCTGACCTTATATGGAGGTCAGACCTGCATATTGGTATTACCTAAATATATTCAATCAGGATGTCATGCTCTTTGTGAGCTTAATGAAAAGATCAGAGGTAATAAAACCATATTTTTCTCTGAACAATGTTCGCATAGTCAGTATGCATTTGCAAGATGTCAGATTTGAGTTTATACCTTTTAGTTTTGTAAAAAAAATAGACTTTTAACTACCTCTAAGGGCGTATATTCCTTTAGTCACGTTAAAAAATATATATAATCAAGGTGAGATTGCCATAAGCTTAAAAAAACACAAAAAAGTAAGTAATTCATTTTGTTTTTTTTCGGCCAATAAATGAGATCATCTGGCGAAAAATCCTCAGAAAACCAATCCACCTTCTCATTTGGAGACAATACCAGTTAAAATATTTTTTTCGTTATTAGAAAAAACATTCTTTCAATCAGAATAAGCTTTATCGTCACTTTATACCAGTTTATCTCTCTGCACGCCCAACAAGTCAAAGCATCAAATAAATAAAATAATATAAACAAAAAGTGTTGATCACTTTGGCACAGTGGCCTGAAGGGGGCGCCACAGGCTCGAAGCAGCGCTCAGCAGGTTACTTCCTGAAATAAATCCTACATGTTTGGAGATACAAATACCAAACTCTTCATGCTGACGTCTGACAGTATGGAGGATAAAAAGTGCCAAAATTAAAAAATAAATACAGCGATAAACAATTAATTAAATGTGTAATTCATTAAATAAATAAGGAATTAAAAATATAAATGTGTCATTAATTTAATAAAATACGTCTTCATTTTAATAAAAAAAAATATATAATTATTTCAGTGTGCATTTAATTATTTCATGGTCCTGTGTCGCAGTGCATCGAAACCATTAAAAGAATCTGT